TAAGCAATTTAAGCTTATCAGAGGGTAAGAACTACCAAAGTGAACTGCACAGGATGAATGTAGTAAAGCTACTATGAAAAAATATGCTCCTTTCAAGGTCTGAAAATGCCTTAAAAGTTTGTTAAAAGATAGAAAATAGATTAATTTATAAAATTCTCTTTAAATCAGTATATTTTTATTCTTTAGAAAATAATTACTAGAAGAGAGAACAGTTTTAAAATATCAATACTGGAGAGAGAAGCAAGATGGCAGAGTAGAAGGACGCTCGTAGCTCACCCTCTCCCACAAATACACCAAAATTCACATCCATGGACCCACTCAGCCAACCAGAACACCTGCTGAACTCGCACAGAACATTGCCCTCTTTGAAAGACAAAGACACCAAAAATCTCGTAGGAAAAAAGGAAAAAAGAAAGAAGAAAAAGCAAAACAGTGCAGGACCGATCCTGCGGAGAGGGAGCAGCAAAGAAGGACTGGCGCTCGTTTGTTGGGTCTCCTCTCTCCAACGGAGAGGCCACTGGGACAGAGAGGGAGCCTTTGAGGCTCAGATCTGCCCCAAGCACCCCCTGACCTAAAGAACTGAGTTAAACGGGCACAAAGGGTCCCCGCGACACCCAGCCCAAGATGCGAGCCGGCAGCTGGGGCCGGGATAGGCCACCTGAGCCAGGCAGAGGACTGGGGCAGCTGCACTGAGGCAGCCCTGGGGGACTGCAGGGGGCTGCATGCCTTGGCTGGGAGGGGATACGGAGCAGAACAACCTCGGTCCCCCATAAATTGCGAAAAAACCAAAGCAACGGGGCTGGTGTGCCCTGGGGGAGGGGTGCCACAGCCTTTGTCTCCTCAGACTTGTGAGCCCATTACTGGCGCTTTTCACGAGAAGAGAGGCGGGGCTCAGCCACAGCCGCCATACTATCCTGTGCACAGTGCCCCGGTGGAGGTGGGGCCAAGACCTGAATCCACAGCTGGGGGCTCCGAAACCTCCTAGGCAGGACCCGGACTTGTTTACAGCTGGAGGCAGATAGGGTCTTTCTGCCCTGGCACCTCAGAGAACTCGTGCCACCAAGACAAATAAGGAGCTGAGATTTGGCACAGAGCAGGGGCAGGGCGTTCCACGATCTTCCTCAAGCCCGCCTTCGGAACACCGACAAGAGCTGGAGCGGGCAGCTGCACAGAGCAGTGGAGCGACAGGTGCTGGGAAAGGGCAGGTGGCAACCTGCTTTCCTGGCCGGAATGCAGCACCTGACCACAGTGCTGGGAGGGGGCGCAATCCGCTCACCTGCCTCCCCCAACAGTAGCATCTGACTGCGGCATTGGGAGGGGGAGTGACCCACCCACCCACCGGATAAGAGATCAGCACCTGACCCAGTATTGGGAGGGGGCGCGATCTGCTAGCCGACAGCCACTGGGAGCAGCACAGACGAGGGTGCCAACTAAGGGCCTCTGGAAACAGCAAGCTGAGTTCATGAAACAGGGCAAAGACACAAAGACCTCTCGATAAAATCATTAAGAGCACAGCGTCTCCAAGAGAACTAGCTAACTGATACTCCTTAAGCCACAGTCCCAGAGAGATAATGAGCAATATGAAGAAGCAGAGGAACCACTCCCAATTAAAAGATCAAGAGAAATCCCCTGAAAGCACGATCAAGGAAAGACATCGATGGCCTACTAGATCAAGATTTCAAAAAAGGAGC